TTTCTATAAGATACATTTAAATTGTCTTCTTATGAATCTATATAATACCAAGATAAAAATAAAAGAATGCCTGTTTAGCCTGCACATTATGAAGGAGATTACCTTATTTAGAAACAGGGTAATAGATGCTATTTTTTACTGGTTTGCAGTCATGGATTCAACAAAAGATCTTTATAGCTTTAGGATTAGGAAAATAACATCTTCTTTTGCATTCTGTTGCACATAACAAGTTACTTCCCTGTTTAAACAAGCATGGAGGGTGTTTCTTAGTGCCGGAGGCAATAATAAAATTGCAGATAGATCTCTGACAAGTATTGTCCATGTTGATTATCTTGGCTTTAAAAGGGCATTCCATCTTTTCCAGGTGGGTGGTGAAGAACACGCAGACTTTAGCTGCTCTGTCTCTTTTAGAAATGATAGTTTTGTATATAGCAACCAACTGCCTCAATAGTTTGTCATTGTAAGCAGTGGACATAGCCCTGACAGTTCACAAATAATTCCTATGAATGCTTTACAGCTCTTTGTTTTTGATGTTCTTTATTTTGTTAACTTTGGTTCAGACCAGCAGAATAAATAAAAGCACACGATCAAAGAACAAAATTATTTATATAGAATGTAACAAATCTTCAGCTTCTTATTAATAGTGCCCTCTGTTGTTGAAACATGATTTTACAGTTTTCATATCATGATCAAATGTAACAGCTAAAGCAATTTGAAAAATACTGTTTTTGGTTCATGATGTGAACTAATTCATTCTAAAAATGCACAAGAACATTAATTACTTTACATGTGATACTATGTGTAGGCCAGAAAACACTGATCATATGCTATTCCAATGTTTAATGAATAATTAAGTTAAAATAACCAAATAGTCTGAGGAATAAAACTGATGGATTCTCCATGCTCAGTTTGATTTTGCTTTTGTATTTAAACCTAGTGACTTACTTTTCTTTCTCTGGCAGTTCACAAAAATGTGCAGGACCAATGGCTTGTCAGAAGATATTATTTGGAATTGCAAAACATTGCTAAGAGAAAGAGATGTTGTGTTAAAACTTATGAACAAATGTGAAGAGATCTCAAATAAACTGACCAAACAAGTAACAAGGATCACTGGAGATGGAGGTGGTGGATGGAACATTGACCAACCATCCATCCTGAATCCAAGGTTAGCAAGACTGCTTATTAATAAATGCTACATGTACAGAAAAGAAAGCCAGTGAGGTATAGTGGTTAAGTGGACTAGGAGCAGGGAAACTCAGATTTTAGTACTCAGATTTAGTACTCCATTAGCTGCAAAAGCCAGCTGAATGACCTTGGGCCAGTCACTCCCTCCCAGCTATATATCAGGCTCTGGGACAATCCGCCTGACAAACAAAATCCCTTGCTGCATTGTGCATTGATAGCTTCACTGTAAGTAGTAGACAAGCACAGCATAACCACAAGCAGGACCAACATTAACAACAACAGAAAAGAGCTGTAAGCTGTAGCGTTGGCTTTCAGATTCTTAGACTTGAAAAGGTGACTGGCTTTTCAAGTACTAAGTATCCAGTAGCATTTGCTTACATGATCCTGAAAAAAATCCGTGAGAAAATAATCCAAGAACATTATACAGTTCTGCTTCTCTTTTTCTTAACAGAGCTGTCTATATTGTGTCTACTGTTTTTCCCTTAACATCAGAAAACATTACTAGAATGTATTAGCCTTTTCAGTTCAGTTTGGAGAAGTATTGGAAACATTCATAGTTAATCCCATATGGGAAGGGACTTTAAAAAGCCCAGTAAGTAAGGCAATGCTGTGATTACTGCAGCAAAAGCAGTGTCTCACCATTGTTTTCTAACACAAATGTAATTTGAATGGTTCTGACTAGCAAATGCCTTGAACATGAAATTTCAAGCCTCTTAGCTAGCACCCCAGACTCTTTTGTGACCTTGTATGCTATATATTAAATAATAGCTTGTTCTAGAAGAAGATGTTAGCAAGTTTTGGTTCTCTTTTTCCTTAATGCTATGGCTAAATCTAATTTCCATTATTATTTATTAAATGTATATGCCGCCTAACTCCTAGTGACTCTGGGCAATTTAAAAATTGTTTAAAACATTAAAAACAAGAAAAGGAGACGAAAAATGAAGAGTGAAGATGACCAGAATAACAAAACTGGATGAAAACAACAACAACAAAAATACCCACAGAGTCTAAAGGGCATTTCAGTCATCTTCACCAAAAGCCTGGGAGAAGAGCCAGGTCTCAAGCCCCTCAAAACACCAGTAGGGTGGGAGCTGTTCAAATCTTGAGGGGAAACCTCATTCCAGAAGGCAGATACTGCTACAGTGAAGATACACTTTTGGGGTCCCAATAGAACATTTAAAATCTTTACATGTTCTAATTCATACAAAAACTATAATGTACAGTAAGTCAGTGTTATTTCCCATATAATAGTGGGACAATCAAGGGCAGCATGAGTGCAATACAAAGGCAAGTTTTCAATAAGGAATCTCTGTCTTTTAGCCACTATGCTACATGTTTGGTGAACTGTGCAGGTCAGGAGGTATGAATTCACATAATAGTAACTTATATACTTTCTTTTCTATTTTCAGCATGGAACTTAAGCCATATCAGAAGATTGGTTTAAATTGGCTAGCACTTTTGCATAAGCACTCACTGAATGGTATTTTAGCTGATGAAATGGTAAGTTGAAAACATAGTAGCTTTTATTTGTACTGAAATAATTCATAATACATGTAGCTGACCTAGTCACCAATGAACTTCCATGGGTGAGGGAGGACTTGAAGTGGGTCTTTCCCAGCCTTAATCCAACCCCTTAATCATTGCATCATACTAGCCTTAGGCTCTTACGCACGAGAGAGGATGCCACATCTGAATGGGCTAGCATGAAGACCTAGGACTAAATCACACTGCGAGTGTGCAGACTGGGGCATTCCAGACTGTAAATAGAGTTTTGGAGAAGAGTAATATGGCTGTCTTGCAACTTCAGTAAGGTGGCAGTATTAGAATCAATACCTGAGACTGCAAAATATCAAAAGCTAAAAAACTTGAGAGTGAGTTTTATGGACAAAGAAGCAGCAGTTGCCAGGAAGGACCTGAGTGTCAAGACATATTGAAAGAGTGAAGGAAGAGTTTGCTGGTTGTACTGTATAGATAAGAGATGCCATTATGTCTACAGAAAAGGAAATGCCTTTAAATATTTGAAAGCACTTAAAGAGTCGCAAATTATTTGAAAGAGGCGATGTTATTTGTGACATTAAAAAATTTAGCACTTCTACATATGCCTCTATATTTTACATTTAATACACAACATCATGCTATAAAAATAACTGTTTCTATTTTAAATTTTTATCTAGGGTTTAGGAAAAACCATTCAAGCAATTGCTTTTCTGGCATATCTTTATCAAGTGGGTGATGTAGGTCCACATTTGATTGTAGTGCCAGCATCAACATTAGGTAGGTAAAATTTTGGACCCTTGTGTTGGAAAAAATACCAAAGGAATTTAAATGTTTCTGATTTTGTTCTTACGAGTTTTGAAGAATCTGATTTATTAAAGCTGAGAAGAAGCCTCACAAAGTTAAGAGTGTAATCATTCAACAGATTTCAGAGTAGGTAATCTTAACATACAGTGTCTGCCTTCAGTTGTGTTTAACCTTAGGGATGTATCAACCCTTTAGAGTAGATCAGCCTAAGAATCCAATACCATATACTTTATGCATAAAATTACTTTTATTAGAACAGATATTGTAACAGAATCTTGCAAGTCAGAATGTGCTTCTCTCACTTAGGGAGGGGCCTATCTGAGATGTTTTTCTCAAGTTAGTTTCTTGGAATGGACTTAAACTGTGCTTGTCTAATCATTGCCTTGGTAACATCTTCCCACAGTCCTTCAAAGCCATTCTGTATGCCCCTACAGGATGGAAGTCTAGCATAATCTAGACTCCTGCATGTTTAGAGCTACCTGGTATGTTTGTAGCATCGTATGGTAATCCTGGAAGTCACTGGAGCATTCCTCAAGAGTATTGAAGCAGGCATTTCCCAGAGAGAAAGAAGTCCAAAGACATCCCAAATGTCTAAATGGAAAAGCAACAAGGTGGCTTTGGAACATCTAGATTAATTCATATCCTCATTTATCTTAGAGCCAATATGCTGCCTCGTTTGAGTATAGATAGTCCTCATTTACCGACCACTCATTCAGTGACTGTTCGAAGTTGCAACAGTGCTGAACAACTGGTATTTACAACCAGTCTTCAAAGTTCTGCCCGTCTCACCACCCCCATAGTCATGATCGTGATTCAAGTGCTTGGCAACCAGCTTGCACTTACGACAGTTGCAGCGCCTATGGTCACACAATCACCATTTGCAACTTTCCCTGCCGGCTTCCCAAAAGCAAAGTGATTAGGGAAGCCAACAGGGAAAGTCACAAATCACTCCAGTAAGTATCCCCCACCTTCCAGCGCTTGCATCAAGATGCACCCTGCTTCCCCCAGCCTCCCTGCACTCACGCATGGCCTGCATTGGGCCTCCCTGGGCCTCCCCTACCCCCTTCATAGCACCCCTTCACCTCTTACCTGGGACTGCATGGTAAACCACTAAAAAAAAAAAGTTTCAGTATCTTTTAAAATTACATTTATGTTGTACCCTTCCTCTAAAGAATGTAGGGATCTTTCCACTAATAATGTAACCCTATACATATTCACTCCAAGGAAACCTGAAGAATTCAGTGAAATTTACTCTGAAGTAGAAGTTCAATTGTAGCCTAAATATAACTTACAAGAGGTAAGTCTTTGAGAGATGATGATTGATTTAAGGATCCCATATGGCTTCATAGTGAGCAGAATTGAGCACAGCCAGTTACAATTATATTGTCGTTTTCTATTTTAGGGTAAGCAAGTTTAGAACTAATGATGACCTGCAGGTAGATTAACAGAATGCTTCTTTAACACTTTCTTGTATTTTTTTAAAAAATAGATAACTGGATAAGAGAAGTTAACCTGTGGTGTCCTGAACTCCAGGTCTTATTTTATTATGGTAAGAAAGTGTGTTTCAAGGTAAAACATCTCTAGTTAAAATATAGTAAGTATGCCTTTTTTAAGGCATAATGTAGCAAATTGAATTTGTGAATTGCAATCAAATTCTTAAGAATGTTTTAAATTACCTAGAGTTACTGAAAAGTCTTAACTCATTTTGCATTTTTGCCTAGGATCTCAAGAAGACAGGAGGCATCTCAGAATGGATATCCACAATAAAGTAACAGATTTCAATGTGATAGTGACAACGTAAGTATAAGTCAATATAAAGTGTAGTCATTGGTCTAACAAACTACTTCTTTTCAAGTTTTTCACCTGAGCATGACATTTTTATTTGGTATAATAATAATTTCAAAAAGAGATGTACAAACATCACATGCAGTAATATTTCAAACTTTAATTCAGAATTAAGCTGAACAAAGAAGAGTAAAATTGATTCTTAGTAGTTAGACTGAGAGGAGTGAGTGTGTTCTTTCTTTTCTCCCATTGTTGTTGTCGTTGTTATTAATTGCATAGGAAAGAAAATAGGTTTGGGAAGATAACTACAGTGGAAACAAACACTGTTTTTGTAACACAGTGTGAATGAAACCCTCCTCTGTCACAAGGATCTTGTGGACTTTCCAGTGTGTCAGTATATTCAGAGCAAACAATTATTAACACCCTTCCCCAGAAAGACGATTTGTGTAGTATAAAAGGTCTTCCACATAATTCAGTCAGCTGTAAGTCATAACAATGGATAATTTGTTGGACTGAATAATTATCAGTACAGGATTCTTTATTGGAGAAGGAAGAAAGTCCGTTTATTGTGGGAAAATATAAATGAATATATCTTTGTAAGCGTACCAAATGTAATAATTGCATGCAAAACACAAGTATGTAATTACATTTAGAAACCTGTACATAGTATTAATAATTAAATTAGCCTATTCCACCAAAACACTAATGTTACAGTTTATTAAAACCTCTAAAACAATAAAATTTCTATTGATGTGTTCAAATTCTCATCTCATTGTAATTTTCAGTAACCTTTGCTCAAAATATTGAGTGTTGCTATAAATATGTGGCATAATCCAAGATTCATTACCAGTTACACTTCTCCAGTAAGAAATTAGCTCTAGAGAGTCTGTTCTGTATGTTGAATGTATAGTATACTATAGGTAGTCCTCATTTAATGACCCAGTTAGGACCAGCAACTCAGTCATTAAGTGAAGTGGTTGCCAAGCGAAAAATCCTGTGATCGAGACTGTCCTTATGATTTTACACAGGACAATGCATGCTAACTGACTATAATGAAGAACACATGACAGAGAGAGGGACGCATTGGTTGCAAAGTTGCTATTTCACCACCATCATAACGCAAACGGTTGCTGTCCGAGGCAGTCACTAAGCAAGGACTACCTGTAATGGAAAAGCAGTTTTGCATATTATGCCACAGTATTACACAAAAGATGCAACCAAATGCAAATATGATCTTGAAATTGTAACAACTGCCTTAGATCACAGATATACTCTATACCCACACTAGCAATTGCTAAATGCTCCTAGCAGTTATTTTTCTTCTGATAATGGTTCTTGAGACTCTAGCCAAAGTTAAATAGCTCTTTCATTTAAAGGTCTGTATTATACTATTAGAGCTGACTTAATGAATGCTAGAAGATATTATATGTATATATGTATTTAATCAATGAATTTATGCATGTTTCTGAAGCAACATGTGCTCATAGTTTTTTCTCTTGATAGGTATAACTGCGCTATTAGCAGTCCAGAAGATCGTAGTCTATTTCGCCGGATGAAACTTAATTATGCAATCTTTGATGAAGGTCATATGCTAAAAAATATGGGTTCTGTACGCTATCAACACCTGATGACAATTAATGTAAGACACTGATCATTTCTTTACTCTTGGCCCTTTTTCTCAATTATGACTTACATGTTCAAGTTTTAGTAAATGTTACATCATAAATGTTTTGATATATACAGGTAGTTCTCATTTAACGACCACAGTTGGGACCGGAATTTAGGTTGCCAAACAATGCAATCATTAAGTGAATCATCACATAACTGGACCTGATTTTATGACCTTTTTTGCAGCAATCATTAAGTGAATCACCACAGTCGTTAAGTGAATCAAGTGGTTCCTCATTGATTTTGCTTGCTGGAAGCCGGCTGAGGTCACAAATGGCAATAACTTGACCCTGGGACACTGCAACAGTCATAAATGCGAGCTGGTTGCCAAGCATCCAGATCATGATCGCATGACCACAGGGCCATTGCGATGGTCATAACTTCGGGCACCAGTAGTCAGTTAATTTTTAGCGCCTTGTTAACTTTGAACAGTCACTAAATGAATGGTCGTTAAGCAAGGACTACCTGTATTCTGTTTCTTGTTTTATTACATTAAATTACAATCCTGTAAACAGTTATCTGACTGAATTCTGTTAATATACAAGAGGACTTATGGCTAAATATATGAACTATAAAGCCATACATGACACAGGACTGGCTTTCTTGCAGGACCATCTCTTCTCATCATCTCTTCCTGTCCCACAAGGTTGCTTAGAGTAGGCATATTCCAGGTTCCCTTTTTGAAAGAATGCCACTCTAATGTGATCTAAGTGGCATGCCTTTTCTGTTGCTGTACCTGCCCTTTGGAACAACCTCTCCCAGTTATGTGCCTGAATGTTTTTATCACCAGCCTCTGTTGTGTATTGATTATGTTTTTGATTTTGTTGGGGATTTTATTTGTTTTTACATGATATTTATTCTTATTTAATTTTTTTCTCTTTTGTATGCATCCCTGAGTTACAAATTGTGAGAGAGGTGGCTTTATGCATTTTTTAAATAAGTAAACAAACATGCATACATAAGATTGTGGTTAATTGGATAGCCAACTGTAGCAGCTATTATTTGTCAGATGACCCAAACAGCTGAGAATTTCATTGTATTGTTTCACTTCAGTGACATTTAAGTCTGTTATTTGCAACTTCCTGATAATTGTAAATATTGTAGGCAATTTTTAAAATGTGTAACTCTGTGACAATATTAAAATTCTCAACAGTGAGATGGTGTCCATACTACAATATTTTGGCAAAATGTTGGTGATTTCATTTTTCATCTACTAATCACTGCTTATTTATTTTTATGAAAACAGGCAAAAAATCGTTTGCTGCTAACTGGAACTCCTGTTCAAAATAATCTTTTAGAACTTATGTCCCTGTTGAATTTTGTAATGCCACATATGTTCAGTAGTAGCACCAGTGAAATTCGGAGGATATTTTCTTCTAAAGCAGTAAGTGTATTTTGTATGTGTTTTTATTGCTTCGAAATAGAGATAAAAATTATATGTTTTTTGTTAATTTTTGCATTGTAATTTAAAGATAATTCTAAAACATAATTCAGAAAAGTCATCATGCAGTCTTCAAATTTGCAACTCTAGATACTATTCTGTACAGTAGTAAATGTTTTAGTAATTGTAGTCATAAACACAGTGTAGCTGGACATGCACATACTTTAGTTTAAGAATGGGTGGTTTAATAAATGATAATGGCTGAGTTCAAACTTTGTATTAAACTAAAACAAGATACATTATTGTTTAACATGGAATTTGAACCATGTTTTATTTTGGATCGAGGTATTCACATTAAGTACAAATACATACAATTTTTGATCATGTTAAAATAACTTGATTGCACTGACAGTATGAAATGCTCTTTATGCTTTTGATTTTTTTTTTCCTTAGAAATCATCTGAGGAGCACAGCGTGTATGAAAAGGAGAGAATTGCCCATGCAAAGCAGATAATAAAACCATTTATCTTGAGAAGAGTAAAAGAAGAGGTATTCCTTTATTCTGCAGTGAAAAATAATTATTTGATATCAGGCTACCATAAATAAGTGTAGCTTCCAAATTTGTATCTGTGAATCTGTGTGTAAGCTTATCTTCCTAATACATACAATTTCGGTCTTGGTCTGCCAGGTGCTGAAACAACTACCTCCCAAAAAAGATATTGTTGAGTGGTGCGAAATGTCTGAGAAACAGGAACGACTATACCAAGATCTTTTTAGCTGCCTTAAGAAATCTATTGATAGTCAAGGTATGAATGTATATAAATACTTCTCAGTTATTTCTCTTCTGTAGTACAGAAACAAAAACACTGAGCTCTGATGTTTTTCTGATCATATCTGTAAAAAAAGAACTTTTTATTGAATGTACTTGAAGCATGTGAATATGTTTCCTCATACATTATTTCTGTTCACAGAAAAAAATTCCGAAATGGGCAATGTCATGATGCAGCTAAGAAAAATGGCTAATCATCCTCTCTTACACCGTCAATATTATACCTCTGAAAAACTTAAAGTTATGTCAAAACTCATGCTCAAGGTAAGAATCAGAATTAAATAAATCCTCTTGATGCTTTTTAGTTTTGTCATGAGGTGTGTATATGTGTGTGTGTGGTTGTCTTTTTTTTTTTTTTTTGAGGTACATGTTTGTGTGGTGGTTAGGCTTTGTTTTTTGTTTGTTTGTGCCTTCAAGTCACTGTTGACTCCTGGTGACTACCTGAACAAGTCCCTGCGATTTTCTTGGCAAGATTTCAGAAGGGCTTTGCCATTGCCTCTTCCTAGGGCTGAGAGAGAAGGACTGGCCCAAGATCACCAGCTAGCTTCATGCCTAAAGCAGGACTAGAATTCACATTTCCCAATTTCCAGCCTGGTGCCTTAACCACTACACCAATCTGGCTCTCTTGCCATGAGTAATTTTATATTTTTAGATGAATTAATCTAATTTCAAAACCAAACATTAACAATCAAAAATGATTGGGAATAGTTTCTAGAATGGAAAATGGTTTTAAATGATAAAATAAAAGTGTTCTGGTTTTCTAATCTGCCCAAAGGTATGAGTGGATAAGGAACTGGAAAAAGATCACACAAGATACATTTGTCATGTGCTCACAATTATAAACCTGGCTTTAGTGCAGTAGGCAGACACTGGTGATAATGTCTTTCCTGGCATGATCAAGAGAAATTCAGAAGGTTATGCATGCATGCATGCATTTATTTATTTCACTTTATATGGGCACCAATCTTACCAATGCGACTCTGTGCAGCTAACAGAAATTAAACTATAATATAAATACAATGTATATTTAAGAAAAATTAAAACACCACTCCCAGTTGATTAAAATAATGTGGCTGCCAAACACATCATTCACCAGTAGCATGGGCTTTCTGTAAGCCCTAACACCCAAAGCCACTCCATCTTACTAGAATTGAGGTGAAGCCTGTTCATCCCCATCCAGACCCCCACCACTTCCAGACACTGAAACAGAGCCTCCACAGCATCACTTGACCAGGCCATGGCAGAGATACACAGCTGAGTATCGATGACTATTGATGATACCCTTGAATAACCTCACCCAGCAGCTTTGTGTAGATGTAAAACAAGACTGGAGAGGGTTGAGCCCTGAGACACTCAACATAAGAGAGGCTGTGGGGCAGACTTTTCTCCTCCATCAAGAGCGACTGGAACCATCCCCAGAGAAAGGAGGAGAACCAGCATAACACTATACCCCCAATTTCTGACCCCCAGAGCTGGTCCAGAAGGATACCATCGGCGACTGGAACCATCCCCAGAGAAAGGAGGAGAACCAGCATAACACTATACCCCCAATTTCTGACCCCCAGAGCTGGTCCAGAAGGATACCATCGGCGACTGGAACCATCCCCAGAGAAAGGAGGAGAACCAGCATAACACTATACCCCCAATTTCTGACCCCCAGAGCTGGTCCAGAAGGATACCATCGTTGATTATATTGAAAGCTATTGAGAGAGATCATGGACAGCAAGGATGGATGCACTACCCCCACCCCCTTCCTCCAGAGGTCATCCACAAGTGAACCCAATGTGATTTCAGTCCCATACCTTGACCTGAAACCTGACTTGAAGGGGTCAAGATACAGGTAGTCCTTGCTTAACGAACACAGTTGGAACCAGCAACTCTGTCACTAAGCAACATGGTCATTAAGCGAGACATCATGTGACCATGTTGGACTTATGACCTCACTTCCACTGCGGTCATTAAGTGAATCACCCATGGTCATTAAGCAAGACATGTGATCACAACTTGCAATTTTGCCAGCTTCTCTATTGACTGCTTGTTGGAAGCCAGCTATGAAGCACGCAAATGGTGATCGCAGGATGCTGTGACAGTTGTAAATGCCTGCTGGTTGTGAAGTGCCCTAATCTCAATTGCATGACCACGGGAGGGTTGCGATGGTTGTAAGTGCAAGGACTGGTCATAAACTCACTTTTTCAGCGCCATCATGACTTTGAACAGTCGCTAAACAGGGCAGTCATTAAGCAAGGTCTACCTGTAATCCACTTCATCCAGGGCCTTCTGAAGTTGCAAGGCAACCACCGCCTCAACAACCTTCTGTAAAAGGGTGAGGTTGGAGACAGTGTGAAAGTTACCTAAAGTGGTCAGGTCTAGGGATGACTTCTTGAAGAGGGGGTGGGCCACTGCCCCCTTAAGGGACAGTGGAACTTCCTCCTATCTCAAGGATGCATTCACCACGCATAGTACTTTCACTGCATGGCTTGCAGTTGTGCTGAGATGTTTATATTTTGATTTTCGTATTAAATTATAGTATAACAGAAAGTTGTCTCAGCCTTTCCCTTCTCATCAGTAATCCCAATGAAAATCCTCCCTGAAATGTAATTGGCAATTTTTTAAAAAAATGTTAATTGAATTCCAAATAATTCTGAAAAAGTTAACTGTGCTACTGTAAGCTACATTTCAGTTTGTACAGTTTTATTATAAATGGGACTATGGAATAAAATAAATTACAGGACAGTAGGTGTATATTGCATGTTAATATTAGTCATTTTTAAATAACTAAGATTTTTTGTTGTTTTAGGAGCCTACACACTGTGAAGCAAACCCTGATCTTATTTTTGAAGATATGTGTGTGATGACTGATTATGAACTGCATTTGCTTTGTAAACAGTATGCAAATATTCAGGATTTCAAACTTGAAATGGATCTAATTTTGGATTCTGGAAAATTTAGGACGCTTGCACGCATTTTATCGGACTTTAGAGAAAAGGTTTGCCCTGCATACTGATACCTTTCAGTATACTCACTTTGTGAATTGATGAACTGATTTCAGTTGCAAACTGTACTGACAGAAACCCCTTTTAGAAAACCATAGGCATATTGAGCTAAAATGTGGGAAGCTCTCCTCAAATTCCTGACAGTAAGGTCCTTTGTTTTCATAGGTATAACATTAGCCAGGGCTAAAGGTCAGCAGTTGCTTGTAGGATTATGAACTCATCTCCCCTCTCAATACCCTTTATCTAGGTTTGTCATTAACCATGGCTAAAATTCCTGCCTGCTCACAATTTACCCATGGGTAGTGTAACATGTGCATAGGGACTCTTCACCAGGTAGGTTCCTCAAATGTTTGTGTGAAAAATAGTATATATGGGGAAGGGTGTAATGTGATTAACCCCTAAGTGAGTTTATATTACAAACTTTATAATGTAACCAAATAGGCCAGTTACACCTGCCTTATTTAGGACAGAGAGGCTTCTCATGCCATTAAAAATAAATATAAATAAAATGGAGATAATTTGGAGACAGCTAATTGTTGGTTATAGAACTGATGGCCAAAGAAAATGAGGTTCAGAGCTAAGGCAGAAGCTAGTTTTCTAATCTCTGAGAACCTTTTGGGAGAAGACTTAAATACTGGTTTTAGTGGCTGGGGAGAAAAGGAAATCATAATTTGAGTTAGTGGGGTGGTTTCAAGCAGAAAGCAGAGGCCAGGATTTGAAAGCTTCAGATAGAGGTCTAATCAAAGGAGCTTCAGTAAGCAGTCCTTAAAACAACTAGATTGTTTTTGAACCCAAAAGCAGTTAGGTGTTGTACAGTGTATACTTCAAAAGTGGAGATGAAGGCAATCTAATTTCAGAAAAGGCTACTGAGAACTTACTTTACTGGGAAAGAATCTATTGAAGGTTAGGAACTAGGTGTTTTTATTCCTGTAGTAAACATTTTAATTTTGTTTAATTATTTGTCTCTCACAGCAGTGTCAAACCCATGTCAGTGCCATAGGAATTGCTTCTGAGTTTCTGTATGATAATAGAGTATATTTATAATGTTTGAGAATTTATAAGTAATAAATTCTTTCTGAGCTCTTTACAAAATAACATGATGGGGAGTTCCATAGACCAAACTCCAGAGTTTTAAAGAGAAAGTAGATGCATCATTCTTACAAAGAAAAGATAGCATGCGTATGTGGCAAAAATGGAAATATCTGTTCAAGTAATTAGTAGTAATTAGCTACCGAGTACTCCCAGGATGGAAACATAAAATCTTGTTTAGAAAATATGGAACTAGGCTTAAGTTTGGTATTTATATCGGTTCATATTTTTCTACTACTTAAACTACAATAAAATAACTTGATCCTAAGGTATTAGACTGTTCCTGTGCTTTATGAGCAGCATATTATGGTTTTATCCCATAGAGTTTTGCTTGTGCCCTAACAAATTAGAACTCTGTAGTAAATAATTCTTATTAGCCACTGCATATACATAGATTACAACCAACAAAGACAGATACACTGTTCATTTCATGATCAAGTGACATCACATGGGCTCTTTTGTCCTCTTGAAAACAATAAATTAGTCTATTTTGGCTCTCAGCTTAATATGCATGTTGGAACTCCTCAGATGTTTGAATCCTGGCTTTCAAGTGCATTGCTTAATTATAAAATCAGCCTATAAGCCTAAACCAACTTTTTATATTTGTGTACGTATCTTTCTGATGTAAGCAGGAGTTTTTCCTTAAATTAACTATGCTCCTTTGTCCGTTAGGGTGACAGAGTTGTCTTGTTTAGCCAATTTACCATGATGCTGGACATCTTAGAAGTTCTCTTGAAACATGAGCAACATCGCTATCTTAGACTGGATGGAAAGACACAGATCTCTGATAGGTAAGAACGTATCTACTGTATGAGATTTCCTTTGTATATGCCTTGATGCTATATTCAACAAATGAGCAGGTGTGTGCACCAACCTATATAGTATGACCAACTTGTAGGGGACAAAAAATTTTTAAAAGGTTGCACGCTGATGAATACTTTGCTTTTTATTTCTTTTTTAATAGGATACATCTGATAGATGAATTCAATTCAGATATGGGTATATTTGTTTTCTTGCTTTCAACTAAAGCTGGGGGACTTGGGATTAATTTGACCTCAGCCAACGTGGTCATTCTCCATGATATTGACTGCAATCCTTACAATGACAAACAGGCTGAAGACAGATGCCACAGAGTTGGACAAACTAGGTATGGATTGATGAAACAACTTTCACAACTTTATAAAGTGCTGGTTTTATTATGGCAAATTTGGTATGCTGGCATGGATACCTTGGCAGGAGATAAAACTTTAAACAGTTCTCCAATGTTCATTCTCTCTCCCTCCTTTTTTAACACTGACCAGTCACAAGAAGTAATCTGTCCATACATCCATGTTATCTTCACACTTTTGCCCAGCAACAACACTCATGCATCTCACTTAAATAAGTTGAATTGATTTTATATTTCTAGTGTCAGCCACTACAACGTCTTGTTGTTTTTGTTGTTGTCACTGCTTTACTGTTTGAGACCAGACTAAAGTTTCACTTCATTGAAATTATGGAGATAGCACCAACACAAGAACAGATACAAAGGCAGACTTTAGGGTCCTGGTTAAAATGACTCCTTATTTGGTGAAAAAAAATTACTGATTCATATGCAAATGTAGGAATTGCCAATATTAAAATTGCTTTGCAATTTTTTTCTAATATTCTTCATGTATGGTACATGCACATGAGATGTGACTGCATGTATGATACATGCATACATCACAGTTCTAATCCCCAGTTGCTGCTGTCACTTTGTGTGTTTGTGCGTGAGTGAAATGAGTCATTGATACATTTGTGAAAAAATAAACAAGCTTTGTTTTCTATAAAACTATGCCAAATGGAAAATAATACACTTGCAATTAAACTACAAATACTGTTTTACATAATTATATGAATAAATATTTGATGTGGTTTTGTTTTGTTTTGTTTTGTTTTATTTTGTTTAGAGAAGTGAAAGTTATCAGGCTTATAAGTAAAGGGACCATAGAGGAATCCATGCTCAAAATCAGTCAGCAGAAGTTAAAATTAGAGCAAGACATGACAGCAGCAGATACAGGTGAGTTCTTGCAGGATCCTTTTGAATGTGCTAAAAATGTAGGGTCCATGATTATGTGAGGTAGAAAAAAAAATAGTATTTATAAAACTAAAGGAGTGTGGAAATAATAAGCATATTGTCAGATCTACTGTTGCTTTTGTAAAAAAAAAATTAAGTCATGCAGAAACTGCAGTTCAAGCAAAAATTAATTTAACTATTTTTCAGTACAAACCACTGTTACAATGGCTACTAAAACCTGGTATCTGGTGAAGTTCCTATAATTTCCCCTACTTAGGTACTTTAAAAAAATATTCTGAAAAAATGTCTCCTAAAACGAATGTATGAAGAAATGCATTAGCATAATCAAACAACATATCATATGATTATTTAGAATAAATGTTCAAACTTGTGAAATCTATCTAAGGTCAGCCAGATGTACATTGCATTTTATATTCAGAATATGGAGTCCTATATTGGGTAGATAAAATTGTTTGTTCCAGTATCTATACTTTTTTTTTAAGAAAAAAAAGACATTTAACCTGAGCTGAAAAGCTAGAATGTAGCATTTACTGTTTTTTAAGTTTTATACAATTTCTTAGCAAATGTCTTTCTTTTTTTGATCAAGTATAGAAGGTTTTGACTAAGATGCTCTACTCTGATCAAAATCCAGTTTTGCTCTCATCTGTCAATTTACAATGCAAAGAATCATACAAATGTTTTATAATCCAAGTTACAGTAGTTCTTTCTCATAGATCTCATTGCCATGCCTCCTACTGAACTATTTAATAGACTCTGAAAACAATTTGTACAGCAGGACGCAAAGGCATATATCAGAGTAAAAATTACCATTGACTATGCACAGTCATTTAATGTGCCCCAAATAACTTTTGGAATACTAGCTTTGGCTTTTGGGCTTGCTCAAACACTTGCACAAGAACCTGGGTTCCAGTTTATCATAACCTATGCCAGTTACCATAATGGATCACAGCTAATTCAAACATATTAACATGATTTATCAGTATAATAACTATTGTGCAAAACCTAGAGACTCATTTGGAAACATAAATTAAATTGCACCAGCAATTTGCAAATCAATGTCCAAGCAAATTTTGTATTCCATTGTTTTAAAATTAAAATATTCCATTGGGATAATTTTCTCATGTTCAGTTAGCAAGGTTTTAAAGAATATTTTAATTGCATTCATTGTAACTATTAAGTTGAATAAAATGCTCTTTGAGCATGAAAATCTGACATATTCCTTTAATTCTACAGGAGAAGAAGGAGCCATTCCAGCAGATATAGCAACACTATTAAAAACATCATTAGGTCTCTAATACTAATATAAAGAAAAGTGATGTAGATTTTTTTTTATTTGAGGGAAAAAAACGTGGTGCTTCAATAACTTTTTGTTATTAAATACATTTGTATGAACATTTATAGCTTTTTAAAGAATTCTTGTTGTATTGGTCATGGCATAGCATTTTCCCACTACTGGTACTCAAATTAAAAATGTACAGCTGCCACAAAAATGTAGTGCATAAAATGCCATCTGAACTATCTTACCAAGGCAGTTTTTAATAGGGACCCTAGTTTTAACAGAACTGCTAATGCTTAAAATTGTTGCATATTTTTGTAATTATTTCTACCTCCAAATATATATATATAGAATCTGTCTATTTCACTGGATGTGTGGTTTTTTTACATGTGCCTTATTTGAAATGCCCATATTTGTTGTCTCTTGGCTTGTTTTCATTTGAAGTACTGTAATGTTTTATATCAGATTGTTCACATAATAAAAAATTAACCTTAACGAATTCTGTTTTGTTAAATGGTTATTTTAACTGCAGAAGAAGGGGAGAGAGCATTCAAGCTCTTCATATTTGTTTTCTTTTAACTATGATAGCTTTTCATTAAGGCCTTCTTAGTAGTGACCATGATGTTTTAGAAATTTTCTCCAAACTTTGCTGGCCTTTAAGATATGGCAGAACAAAAGCTTTTGTTTTTCCACTTTTTCCCCTCCACAAATAGACCATTAAGTTTTTTTTTTTTAAACATCCTAGACCATTGTGCATTTGCTTGCTTCCTTTTAACTGTCATATTAATTAAGAGATTTTTGTTTATTTAATTTACTGATTCCCTGTTAAGGTATATTTCTGTGTTTTTGGATAAAAGTTCTCTTAAATTTATGAGAATAGACAAAGTGGTAACTGTGAAGTGTTTAAGATACCTGATGCTACTCAAAATGCATCAAAGGGATAGACAGCGTCCAGTGGGCTTGCAATCTGTTATCAGTCTAATAAAGTGATACCTACCTTTTCACTGCGCTGTTATCTTTCTTTGACATTCTTTGCCTTCATCCAGTAGTGTAATGTGGGAACACAAGATCTCCACAACTCAGCTGCTTAGAGGATAGTTAGTAAACTAAACTGGGAAAATGTGTGGTTAGATTATTTAAATATGCTTCAACCTAGCTTTTTATATTTTTGATAGAACAATTTGTGTGGAATGTACTTCATTAAGCTAGGATGGACTAGTTTTGAGAACAAGCTATTGTTTTGCTCTGCAGAGGTATTACAGTGTATTTTGCATTTGGTCAAGCACACGCATTGGGCTGTCTGGACAAAAGAGTGCATCCCTTAAGTACCTGAAAATCATAAATAGATCCAAAGTAATAAAAGGAGAGTTGAATTTTTCTCTAAGGATCAGAGGATGAAAGGGGACTTCTTAGGCTGAGGATCAAGAAGGTGTGGATTTTATTTTTAACCCTATTGATCATTAGTACATTATTTTACATTAGATAATTTGTGCATTTCTTCTTTTACTTGCATATTAAAAAAGGATTGATCTTTCAATAAAGGTCTAAATTATTTTAGAAAATCGCATACCACTGTCAGTCAAAATGTTCAGTATTTTGTCAGCCTCAGAAGGACAAAAAGAGGGAAACCTTTCAATCTTTATTCAAGGATCAGTACATCCAGGAATATACTGGATATTTACTGTCTCAAAGGTGCACACACACATAAATTGCATAGGGCAGGAATGGGATACACATTCAGAGCTAGAGACAGGTGAAGAACGGAAGACTCCAGTTTGGGGGGAGATGGGGGAGGGACTCCCAACAAATATTACAGGATATGCTGATCTTTATTCTCTCAGAAGATGACAGTATTAGTGTGATGGATTGGAATGGAGGAAGGGGGGTGAAAACGGTGCTCTCGTCTCCAGAGCAACGCTCTG